GTTCAATTATTAATATTACCTATCTCTCTCAACACGTCTCAAGATTACGTACAACGTGCTACGTCGTTAAATAATTAATGTGTTACCGATCGTAGTGTTGTGGACCAACGGTGATCCAGTTAGAATTATCTTTTTTCGATATATAATTTGCACACGGAAGCGTGTGTGGCTGGGTATCCATAGACCACAATGATAATACCTTCCGGTCTATGTTTGCGCTCCGGGCATTGTAGATAGACGAGAGCGGGTCGAACGGCAGTCTGAATCCAGCAGCCACTTTATGTAAGCGTTATATTTTAGAAGTGCTGGTTCGGCTCTCGTGTATGTATTTAATATATATATTTATTATTCTAGTCGATATTAAAATATCTTTACCACATAAATTATTCATGTTTATAACAGCAGTTTTAACTGTCATATATTTATTTATAATAACTATTCTGATAATATACGTTTGAAATGAGATTTAATTGAACTAATAAATCTGTGTAGGGAAGAGTGGGGCTAGTTGTTACAAGGGTAAATTGATACATGTTGATTTAAAAAAAAAGTATTTGTGGTAACAATGTGTAATTCATTTGGTAAGCATGACGTGTACATGTGTTTGTTCAATATTTTCTGTTTCCGTTATCATAATCGTTATTGAATTTCTGATATAATGATTTAAGTGAAAATTGTAACTTAAAGCTACATTTTAAGATTTATATCCAGTCAAAAAAAATTAATATTTTTAACGGTAAGTTACTTTTTTAACTATTCAATATTTTGTTTAGCTTCTAGCGTATATTTTAATCAAATAATAAGTGATATAAGATGCTTTTTTCTAGTGATAAGATTAGTTATTGTCACGTGTACTTGTTGGTCCTAGTTGTTACATTTAAATTGGGGCACGTTGTTACAGTGTAACAACTTACCCCATTGTATATCTTTGAACAAAGTATAATTTTATTATATTAATAACTAATATTTTGGTTGCTTTTAGGAATAAATTATGCGGAACTATATTAAAAAAACCAATAGGGGATGGTTTCAAAAGGAGATATGGATGCTGCAGCGGAAGATGTAATTTCTGGCTCTATACCATTAAGAAAGGCAGCAAACGCTTATAATTGCAACTTTATGACCCTTCAAAGGTACGTAAAAAAATTAAAAATAGCTAAAGAAAATGGAGATAGTACATTAGATATTAAAATTGGATATGCCAAACCACGACAAATATTTTCTGAACACCAAGAACAAGAATTGGCCAACTACTTGAAGCAATCAGCTAAAATATTTTTTGGTCTTTCTACAATGGATACTAAGACATTAGCATACGACTATGCAAAAGCGAATAACGTGAATGTGCCCGATAATTGGCATACTAATAAGAAAGCTTCCAAAGATTGGCTCATTGGTTTTTTAAAAAGAAATTCATCTTTGTCAATTAGAACTCCAGAAGCCACTAGCTTAGGACGAATGACCAGTTTTAACAGACATAATGTTTCCGAATTTTTTACTAATTTATCTCGGGTGTATGAACAATATAAATTTGGTTGTCAAGATATCTGGAATATAGATGAAAAAGGAGTTACTACAGTACAACGTCCTAATAAAATTATTGCGTCAAAAGGAATTAAACAAGTTGGTGCAGCAACATCTGGTGAAAGAGGAAGTTTAGTGACTCTTGTTTACGCTGTAAGTGCTAGTGGAAATAGTGTACCACCACTATTGATATTTCCAAGGAAATATTTTAAAGACAATTTTGTAGCTGATGGACCACCTGGCTGTATTGGTTCTGCAAATCCTAGTGGGTGGGTTACTAGTGAAGAATTTTTATTATTCATCAAACACTTTGTAAAACATACAAAATGTTCAAAAGAACATCCAGTTCTTATTGTACTTGATAACCATGCGTCACACTTAAGCGTTAATATGATTAATTATTGTCGTGAAAATGGTATTATTCTTTTGTCATTTCCCCCTCATACGTCACACAAATTACAGCCATTAGATAGGTCTGTCTATGGTCCATTTAAACGTTTTTATAATGCTGCAACCGATTCATGGATGAAAAACAATCGTGGGAAGACAATGGTTATATATAATATTCCGTCATTGATAAAAGCTGCACTTCCAAATGCTGCTACACCAAAAAATATTTTATCAGGATTTACGTCTACTGGTATCTGGTCATTCAATAAAGATGTATTCACAGAAGAAGATTATTTACCTTCAGAAGTTACAAATAGACTACTCGTCACTGAAAATATCACTTCCGATAGTGTATCTAATGAAATCATTGGTAATCAAAAAAACATAAATGAATACACTAAAGATATTCCATCTACACCAAGTTTAAAAAATCAAGATAATGAAAATAATCAAGTAAAAGTTGGTGTAAGCCCAGAAGAACTACGGCCATATCCCAAGGCAAAAGAACGGAAAAAAAAATACGAACCGCAGAAAAATTAAAACTGAAATCTTAACTAGTACTCCAGTGAAAAATATATTAGAAAAAGAACAGAAAAAAAGAAACGAGAATGCTTCAATAAAAAAAGCTAGAATAGTGAAAAAATTGTTTGGAAAAAGTATAAAAACTAAGAAAACAAAAAGACAAAGGAAATCAAGTTCTAGTTCTACCGAAAATGACGTAGATTGTCTGTGTCTAAAGTGTTTAAAATCTTGGTCGAAATCAAAATCTGGCCAAGAATGGGTTCATTGTTTAGATTGCAAGAAATGGGCTCACGTTAAATGTGTGAACAATGCAGAATGTTATGTTTGCCATAATTGAAATTCAGATATTAACTCTGATGATCTCAGCGATGATGTATTCAAAGATTAAAATTTATAAATTTCTAATTGCTTAAAGAGGTAATGGTAGTTAAAAAGACGACCAGTCAACATTTTATAAGGTTTTAAAGTTATTTTATTTTATATAATTAATTGTTATTATTAAAGTATTTATACTATCTAAAATTAAGTTTAATATTTATTTTATATTGGATAGGTTGTTATAATTTAAAGTGATAACATTTTATACTCCAGTGATCTCAATGTTGGAAGTATTCAAAGTCTGAAATTAACTAATAACTTAATGTTGTTAATTTAATTTGTTAAGTTAAAAAAAAATAGTTGGACAATAAGTCAACATTTTATAAGATTTTAAATTTGTTTTGTTTTATATTTTACTATATTCATAACCAGTTACAAGTGTTACAAGCTTAAAATTTAAAAAATAAAGTTTTGTTTGTTAAATTGGTGTTTTTAATATCAAGTTTATAATTTTTATATACTATAACAAATTACCCCCTGTTTGTATCATCTTACCCCACTCGGGGGAAATTTGTTACAAAATGAGTTTGTAAGTCTTACTCAATTTTTCGGAGAAAATATTTGTTTTTAAAAATTTATTTATATATAAGACTTAAACTTATTATTATGTTTGTGTGTAGTAGGATAGAATGGCCGGTTCTGGTGCCCCCGCAGATCCTCAATCCTCAATGACACCTCCCGCCCAGTCCAAACCGGTTTGGCCGCCGCATCGTGAGGTTGTGGCGGTGAAGGGGGGGGGTTGTTATCAATTTGTTTTTATCACTTTACTTATCAATGTTTGACAATAGGCGTGTTTTCGCGATTAAACAAATGTAACCTGGTTAATGAATTTTATAAACAAGTCGTTTTCACGGTTTTGGTTATAACTGTGGTAATAATTTTTGGTCAAGGGTTACTGATATTTTATAACCGATCAAATGTAATGGTTATGTTGTTTGGTTATTGATATAGGAAAGTGATAATGGGATAGATATTAAATTGGCAGTTTTATATTTTATTTTTATAATATTAAAAATATATACTTAGACGTATTTGAAAATCTCGTGAAGAAGTTGTATAGTTATAAAAGTTATATTAGTTTAATAGTTATGTCGTCTGAAAGTGGAACGTTCGTCAATTTTATCTTGTCTGATGGCAAAATGATATACTCTGAAGATAATAATGTGCTGTGTAATGTGAAATTTCCAAAATTTCCACACAGTCTAATTTTTTAGGCCAAACGATTATTTTTGAAGAGAGTCTGCATAAAGTATTCACTACTAGGTCAATAATTTTTTTAACAGTAGATTTTGCAATGTTGAAAAATTCACCAGCAGTGAACATAGCTCCTTCTTTAGCCAAGTACCAAAGAGCTACTAGTAACTGAAAATTTTTATAAGTTTTAAAATGGTATTAAACTTTCCAATTGCCAATTAATACAATATATAGTTTACTTTTTTTTCAATTGTCATAGGTTGGTAACCTCCAGTATAACATACTTCCATTTGTGCATCTTGCTTAAACATTGATACCAATTTTGTAAATGTATTTCTTGTCATTCGGAAATGCCTATGTAATTTTATACAACATATAATTAAAAAGTAAATCTTTAACTACTAAAATAGTATAGGAAATAAATTTGTATACCTCACTTACCCATGAAAATCTTGGTCAAGGTATGCATCTATCCATTTATCTACTGTAGTATTTATCCTGTAATGTCTTTGTCTTTTTAATAATGCTAAAATAAGTTTTCTTCTTCTTTTAACATTATTTTTTATTATATTATGCTGTATTATTAAATTGGAACAAATTTTTATATGTTCATTGTTTAATTCATTTAATTGACTAATTATAATAGGTAAAACTGCGATCTCCATAATAATAAATTCAATAAATAGAACACCATACACAGTAGAAACAAAAAATACACAAACTGTTAATCAAACAGTAGAATACTTATAAACAAAATTGCCTTATCTCTAATCACTGTGAGAGTAACCCTAAACACTTAGTTTTCGCGGTTTTTTAACCAATAAACAAAAATGTGTAAACACAACTGATAATGAATATAACCAGGTTAATCGGAAAAACACGTCTAATGTTTCCACGTGTGCATGTGTGATAATAGCGTAATCAATAGTTAGGTGTTATCAATTAATTCGTCATCTCCTTGCTTATCGATGTTTGACGACACGTGCGCGTTGGTGATAACCCCGTGATCGAGAACGTTCCGCGTTAATCGTGTGTGTGAGTGTATGATAAGAGATTTTTTGCCGTCTCTGTTAACACGTTGTCGTGCACGATCGCGATTCGCGCGCGCTTGCGCTCATCGGACCCCGTGTAGATGAGCGCCGCTCCGCCACGCGCCACGGCACCCCACCCCTCCCAACCAAGACATTCCCCGACCGGGTATCATCAACATCCCGCGTACACCTGAAAGTCTTAACCTACGGGTATTATAAATATATACAATATAGGAATGTTTGGAGGTCACCTCGAACTCCCCCTGTCACACCTCTCTGAACAAGATAATAATCGTCCCTCGACAATTTCGCCGAACATGTCTGTAGGTTTTTAACTAACATGTGATGGGCGACGAGGAGCCATCGGTGTTTCAAGGTATTTTTGTCATTTATATCTACGGTCAGTGTACGCGGTGAAGGCACCTACGTTGCTATCGTTCTGCTTTCTTTCCGTCTCCGTGTGACTAATTTTGATTTTTAAACATGGCATTCGTGTGTTTTACGTGCGGGAAGATGTATTCCGTTAACAGCAATTTACTCAGGCATCAGAAGACTCACGATAATTCGGTATTTCCATGTGGATCATGTGTAAAAGTGTACAACCGTCGTGACAATTTGACCAGACACGAATCGACAGTTCACGGTGAGTACTTTTTTTTAAATTATTTTCCCATCCATTATATACATATCTAAGGATATAATTTAAATAATTATTAAAAAGAGAAGAGAAAAAAAAATATATATATATATATGATAAAATATTATATGGGGAATAGGATATTTAATTTTTTAAAACATTTTACTTTGAATACAAAATTTTTTTTCAATCAGGTCTTACAACTGCAGCTACAGTAAAAAATATAATACCAGCCCCCTCACAAGCGTATACCTCTAGTGGTGTTGTCACTGACGCCACCAACGACAACGTTGATATTACTCCCCTCGCTAACGCTGTCACGTCTACCGTCCCCACAACGATTCCCGACCGCGTACCGTGTAAACGTTTTAATGAAAATTCTACAATTAATATCAGACGAAAAAAAGGGCGTATGGATTTGGTGAGCACACCCGGTTTTATCGAGATCGACTCTTCCTTCAATCGAACGGTTCTATGGTATTATAGGAAAAACGTGAATAACTGTAGTAATTATGACGTTTTTTTACGTTCGATTAAGACGGAGTTGAAATCGATATTACGTGAAAGCGTGCTTGTTCATCCGATTAAATACAATCTTAAACTGGAGGCCACGTATGATATTCCAAAGATAGAATTGTCTTCCGTGAATAGAGCGTTTAAAACGTCTGCCAGGGAGCTGTTCAATCACGGGGATATCAACGAGATGATAGAGAAAGACTTTTCGGTGCTTCTCGCCGAAGAGGACGCTTACACGGGAAAAGGTAGTGGGTTTACTTTGGCATGTATAGACGGACTGCTTTTAGGTGTGTACAAGTACACACCGCTCAGCGGTTCGTCATACATACCACTACCATCGGCTATAGTGAATCGGCACGCCGTCATAAACCCGCAAAACATTGACAGTCAGTGTTTTAAGTGGGCGATTCTGGCGAAACACGTATTGGACAATAGTGGTACACGAGTCGGGTTGAATTATTTGAACGAGGAGTACCGATACGATTTTTCCGCATTATCTGCCCCCACACCAATATCAGAAATTGAAATATTCGAGCGCTGTAACCCCGGCACGTCCGTAAACGTGTACGGTTTGGGAAATTGCAACAACGAAAAAATATCATCAAATTCTTTGTACCCATTAAGAGTGGTCGAAGAGGAGCAAGCGAATCATTTCGATCTCCTGTTGATTACTCTCGATGAAAAAAATCACTTCACGTATATTTCAAATTTTTCGCGACTCGTTAGTTCACAGAAAGGCACGCGGGAACATCGTGTCTTTATATGTAAAATGTGTTTCTCCAGTTTCGACGGTAGACCTGCTCGCTATAAGCTGCATGGTGCTGAGGCGCTCGCGGAACATATGAAAATATGCCGTGCGCATAAACCGATAGTGCCCGTAATGCCAGCGGAGGGGACCATATTGGAATTCAATGGGTGGAATAAAACGCAGCGGTTACCGTTCGCTTTATACGCCGATTTCGAAGCTTTCCTCTGTAAAACGGTGGAGAAACATGATGCGAATACCACTGCTACGATGAACGACACGGATGATGTGGGGAGAGTCTACGAGGTAGATATTTCGTACCCGCAGAGTTTGCACGACGTGCATAACGATCTACCGTTTCTACCGTACGGCAGCGTACCTCGGGGTTCCAAAGTGCGAAAACTGATGGCCACTTTGGAACCAAAGAAAAAATACATTATACATTACATGAATTTGAAGCGGGCCATTGCCAACGGTTTGGTTGTCGATAAGGTATGTTGTATCGATAGCACGGTAATCGCTTAAACTATTTTTGATACAAATTATTTTCATCAAACACAGGTGCATAGAGTGTTGGAATTTTGTCAAGCGCCATGGTTGGCGAAATACATAGAGCTAAACACGGATATGCGGAAGATGGCGGCTAACGAGTTTGAACGTGATTTTTTCAAACTCATGAACAACGCGGTGTTCGGTAAATACTAATAAATAATATATAATAATAATAATAATAATATATGTATAAATATTCTATTTATTTTCAGGAAAAACGATGGAGTCGATGCGTAAGCGGGTTAAAATGGAGCTCGTCTCGTCCGAGCGTCGGTTCCAGAAACTCGTCAACCGTCCTACGTTTAAATATTGTACCACTTATAGCGAGAATCTTGCAGCAGTGTCATTGCACAATAAAATTATCGAATTTTGTAAACCAAATTACATCGGATTTGCGATACTCGATATAAGCAAGACACTGATGTATGATAGTAGTATGAAATGGCCGGTTCTGGACCCCCCGCAAAACCGCCAAACCGCTAACCCCTCCCCCCGTCTACCGTCGATGACCTTATAGATAACATTTGACCCCAATTAACCCCAATTAGCCTAATTGACCCCAATTAAAAGGGTTAATTGACCAATTAGTGTCAATTAAGTACTTAACCTGTGACCTTTAACGGGTTAATTGCCCAATTAGTGTCAATTAAGTACTTAACCTGTGATCTTTACGGAACCGCCATCGCCACCACCACCTCACGATCAGATTTCCTCACCCGCCGCCGCAACCGCCATCGCCACCACCACTTCACCTACAGATTTCCCCGTCCGCCACCGCGATCACCGCCCCGCCCCAAACCGCCCGACCCGGCTCGTTATCAACGGTCGGCGGCGGCGGCGATGTTATCATCCGCTCGCGTCGTTCCCCCCTCGCCGATAATGATGATTTTTTTCGATTTTTCACCCGTTTAGTCTATTTCACATATTAATCTTTTATTATTATTATTATTTCAAATAATATATAATGAGCAACAACACCACATATGCACGTTAAACATTAATTCTATACTGCTACTGCTGCTGCTGCTGCTGCTGCTGCTGCTGCCGTTAAAGTATTTTCGAGATTAACACCTCGGTATACGGTGGAGATATATGTACACCGTCATTTTCTTAGTATGGATGCATTCAAGGCACGAATAATGACAGATGCGGCTGTAGAGAAAATAAGCGTCGGAGATTTGATCATCGATCGTCCATACAACATACACCAACTCAACTGCATCACCACGCAGTACGGGAACTCAACTGCATCACCACGCAATACGGGGCATGTGTGGTAGCGCTGATGAAGGCCGTAGAAGAAGACTATAAAGTAGAGGTTTTTTTATCCCAGAGCAATAAAGGTCTCCGAAATCGAGGCCAAAAATTATAACGAGGGGGAAAAAAACCTAAATTTTATTTATTTAGGTAAAAATGGGCAAAGTTATAGATATAGATTTGTGTAGAATTTTAATACCGTAATGAAAATAAAAATATATTTATATATATATACAGAAAACAAAAAAAGTTATTAATTATTTTTATTAGTATTATTACTTGCTATATCCTATATCAGTATGTTTCAATAAAACAAGTGTATTTGTAATTATATATAAGTTTGTTCGTTATAGTAACATGTTATTTAAATATGTTACTCAGATAAATAGTTATCGTTTTCTGGATAGAGAAAAAAAAAAAAGATAATAATATAAATAATAAAATATTCAGTTAATTTTTAGGTAAAGAGTACAAGATTTTTTTCTAGGTAAATATATATAAATATATTATATATATATATATTTATTCTATACAGAAAAATACATCAGCAAGAG